ATTTTTTAAACTTAATTATTTCAAAAAGTACTGTATAGAATTTTATATTTTTTTTTTTATTTGAAAGCTTTAGATTTAAATAATATTTTATATAATTTTTAGCTCTATATCTTGTTTATTTAGGTCAATATAAATTTTTAAAAAGTGTCCATAATAATATGGTACCCCACTATATTTCTTTAACAATTGCAACAGATATAACAACTTCACCAGAAGAAATGCATAATTCATTCAATTTGGAATATTTAAAGCAGATGAGAAGTAATAATATGATGAGTTCAGAAATATCACATAATGTTAGTAAAAAAATGAGATATTCAACTAGATTTGGAGTTCTTAAAAAAGCTCTAAATTTGTCTATTTCTTTGAACTGTAATGATGAATTGTTGAACATTTTATATCACTTTATTGGAGATAGGCAAAAATTAAGCACCAATTATTCTATTATTAATAATAATAACAACAAAGATCACACAAATACAAATCAGAATTCTGATAATTCTTATGTTTCTATTCAAGTAACTGATTCTCTCGTGATTCGAAAAAGAGGAAGACCTTCTAATTGATTAAAATTATCAACAGAGTGCGATAATACAGTAACTAAATACAAGAGACAGGCATTAGCACCTTTAGATGAAAACATACAATCGAATAAGTCTATATTCAAAGAATCTAATGATGTTTATAATGAGGTTAATCAAGATAATGAATTTTCAGCTGATAATCAGGTATGCGAAGGAGGTGCAGTAAATAAATATAAATGTAGAGTTTGTGGTAGTTTTGGATATAATGCTCGAAACAAAAAAAAGTGTTCTCAACAAAATTCTTCATAGAACTTATGAGCTTATGCACCAATTTGATTGAGATAAAAAAAGGTTTATTAGAGTTAGATAATTAATACAAAATTTATTGTATCTTAAAAAAGTTTGAACTATATACATATGCTGCTTTTTAGCTCAATATATATTTGATGTACGTATACATACGTATGTAAAGTAGTAATACGTACTGTATATATATATATGTATATGCAATAAAATCTTAATCATATATATAATGAACTAATTAGTTGAATAATTAGGTTGATCAACTATTTTTTAGACAAACACATTGTTACAGAGATTTAATGATAACTTTCTAACAATAATATACGTACTATAGTCATGTTACAACAATTTGTAATT